TCCCTGGGAGGCAGCTGGCTCTCTCCCTTGGAATGTCAGCCCAGAATGGAGTTTCCAAAATACCTGCCCACAGTCCCACAGTTATCTGAGCTCAGGACACCCTTGGGGAGAGCAGATGGACAGTACAGGCTAAGTCCATCCGTTCCCTATTCCCCCGCCCCCCACGAGGGGGGATCCCACCTGCTATGTCTATTCTTAGCCTCTGAACTGTTTCTTTCCCGAACATTTGGTCTGAAGGTTTTTCCTTAGGAAGGAGTTGAGGACTTTATTACAGAGCACTGGGGGCTAGCCCCTAGGAGCACTTGTGAATCTTGTAGGCAGCATACTGAGACAGTTAGGGGCAGAAATTCTATACATCTCTCAGAAGCTGAGAATAACCAAAGAAAGCCTGCTGGAGCCTCTCCCAAGTTGCTCTGGACATGGGAAATCCTAATGAAATTCCAAACATCCATCAGTAGGAGTCCAGTGGTCATCCAAGCAACAAAGCCATTCCTCACAGTGTGTATATGTGTGTGTGTGTGTGTGTGTGTGTGTGTGTGTGTGTATCTAATAAAAAATCTAGACCTACAGGAAACTAGGATGGTGTGATGAATAGTCTCATACCTACCACCTGCAATGAGAGAGTTAACATATCAATACCTTATCTATTTTTATGTTAAACTATTTAAAGGAAGTTGTTACTTTTCCTCATTTACTCTAAAAATTATGTTCCTGGGGTTTTTCAGAACATTTTTTAGATTAAAAATTTCCATTTAGTTATCTGTTTATTTTTATTTGTGTGTGTGTGTGTGTGTGTGTGTGTGCGCGCGTGCATATGTATGTGGAGGTCAGAAGACAACTTGTAGGAAACATGCCTCTCCTTGTACTTTGTAAGCTTCAGAGATTAACCTCAGATCCTCAGATTAAGCTCAGGCTTGATAATAAACACCTTTGCCTGCTGAGCCATCTCACTGGCCCTCAAACCTTTTTAAAGCAACAACCCATTTTCTTAAGTAAAATACCAAGCGGATGACCTCTGGGTGTTGTTCCTGGGACATTATCTGAATAGAGACATGACGTCATAGTTGAGTCTGGAGCCCAGAGAGAAGATAAAGATGGGAATGGGGGCTCAGGGTATATTGAAAGCTATGGGAACACATGAGGTCACCAAGAGAATATGTAGAGGAAATTCCTAGCAGAATTCCCTAGCATCAGGCAGAAAGAGTAACCCACAGAACGCGAAGACACTGGACAGAGAGAGTCTCTGGGTTCTACTGAGTAACATCTGCCAAGGAAGAGGGCATGATCAGCCATCTTTGCTGCTGAGAGAATGAATAAGACTGATAGAACGCTGGACTTTGTACAGATAAGGATCAAGGCCCAGGAATGGCTCTGTCTGCCTAATATCTAGACTTCATAAATTAGAGAAAGGACCACAGGGAGAGAGTGCACTGATATCACACCCTGAGCTGAATGACAGAGCTGGGCCACTACCCAAGCCCCCCCCCCCCATGTCCCGTAAAGGATTATTATTATTATTTTTTTAACCTGCCTAATAGCAGCCTTTTCCCCCAGGCCGCAAGCTGGACCTTCAGGTCTCAGTTTCTTACTTGTAATCCCTCTGCAGAGGATTACCAAGTACCCCCTCCTGCTGCAGAGAATGCTGGAGAATACACCTGCGGATGCCAGCGCCCACCCTGTCCTTCAGAGAGCCACCTCTGCCCTCCAGGATGTGAACAGCAATATCAACGAGTACAAGATGCGCAAGGAACTGGGTAAGGACTCGTGGTTAGGGGTGCATCAGGGACAGCATTCCTAGTTCCAAAACTCACCCTGAGAGCCTCCTTATCTAGAATGAGAATGTGGGGCTGGGGTGAGCTCAGCTGACCGGCTAATATGTGTGAGGTCCTGGGCTTACCCCATCACCACTGGGAGGTAGAGAGGCGTGTATGGAGGTGTGCGGCTGGATGTATCCACCTCTTAGGCTGTCGCAGTAGGAAGGTCCTTCCTTGCAAAAGGAAGCAGTGTCTGCGTATCAAGAAACTCAGTTGCCTACCAGCATGATACTGAGAATTTAGCACGTTTACTTTCTAAAAAAAGTACTTATCATTTATTTATTTTGGTTTTTCGAGGCAGGGTTTCTCTCTGTAACCTTGGCTGTCCTGGAACTCACTCTGTAGACCAGGCTGGCCTTGAGCTCACAGAGATCTTCTTGCCCCTGCCTCCCGAGCGCTGGGATTAAAAGCGTGTGCCACCGTCGCCCAGCTGGAAGTATTTATTTTTAGTGTGTGTGTGTTCTGCTTTACATGAATGTCTGTGCACCTCATACTTGTCTTGGAGGCCAGAAGAAGGTGTCAGATCCTCTGGAACTGCAGCTGTAGGCGGTTGTGAGCCACCAGGTGTGTGCTGGGAACCAAACCCAGGTCCTCTGGAAGACGAGCCAGTGCTCTTCTCTCTATCTCTCCAACCCTCACTCGTGCTTACTTTTAAAATAATCACCCCAGTGTCACAAATATCTACAGGGCAGAGTGTGGTACTTCTGTACACAAATACAATGTCCAGTAATCAGATCCTCCATATGTATTGTTTGAAGGCTAATTCTTCCATTTTTTTTCTCCTTCAATATCTTTCTTGGTCCTCGTAACCCCTGAGACCAGCCTACTTCTCAGCTGGGTAAACAGAGCGTATATGATTTGTTTCTGGTCACTGGGCTGTACGAAACAGAGATAGCTTTAAACTTAGGCCTGGGGTCTTTGCGTTTTCTCCCATGTGTGTTTCTGCATTCAAGTGGAGAGGAGACAGGGGACAGAAGTGCTGAGCCAGGAAATATGGCTTTGGTTGGCCTTTGATAAAACTGTCTGGGGAAGCCCAGAAAAATGTTCCTTCACACCTGCCGTCTTAGGTGATCCTCCCAGCAACCCTGCAAGATGGAGTCCTCATTTTATAGGCAAAGAAACTGAGGCCAAAAGGAGCGGTGACCTGTTTAAGTCTAGCAGGCGGAACACTCTCCAGACAGGACTCACACCTGGGACAAAGAGGACCCGAGTACTGGGCTTCTCTGTGGGACTTACCATCCTGCTGGACATAACTTGCTGGAGCAGAATGCTGAGCCAGGAGAAGATGGGGCTGTTTGCCTCCTGGGTCTGCCTTGGTCACCCACAGTGCCCTTTTCTTCGTTGTCACCGCAGCCTTAAAGTATACCAAGGTGGAGCAGCTGAGCCTTCGGGAGCGCCTGGCCCGCATCAACACACATACCCTTTCCAAGAAGACCACCAGGCTGAGCCAGCTGCTGAAGCAGGAGGCGGGGCTGGCACCCAGGGTGAGTATGTGCTGGGGTGGGGGCGATCCATGAATGAAAGCAGGTGAGGTTTCTCCTGAGAGTGAGGCAGCTGAAGCCGAGAGTGAAGGGATGACAAAAAGACATACCACCTGAGTCTCAAGAGCCAGTATTGGGGGCCTCTTTGCTGATAGAGGAGCGAGGCTCAGAGCTTGGGCAGTGCACCAAAGTCGCTGCTCAGGCTGAGTGAGTGCAGCTTTTCCAAAGCAGTAGCTTCTGAGCCACAGGACTAAGTAGGTATGCTTATCTCAACTTTCACACAAAGAAACAGAGGCTCTCAGAGGATGAAGTGTCTGCCCACAGCCACACAGCTAGGAAGCAAGTGAGTCAGGATCCATACCCCAGAGTCTGATCCCGTGGTGTGAACGCAAAACTACCCAACCTCACTGCTGTTTGATTTTGAGACAGGCCTTGCTATGCCATCCAGGCTGGCTTCACGATCCTCTTGCCTCAGTCTCGTAGGGGCTGGGCTTCCAGGCATGTGCCACCACATATGGTTTTCACTGCTTTTTAATCGTCCCACTCAGTCGAAGAGCTGGGTGAACCAGCCCTTCTTGTCTTTCCACAGTCTGTGGAGAGGTTGTCCCCAGTGAGCAGAGAAACCAGCTGCACACTGCCCCCGTGTGGATCTTCTGACCCTCACACCCTCGCACGTATGGCTTTCCTTACAGACAGAAGACAGGGAATTTGATGAGTTAGAGGAGAGATTCCAGTGGGTGTCTCTGTGTGTGACGGAGCTGAAGAGCAATGTGGCTGCTTACATGGATAATCTGGAGGTGAGAACCCCGCAGATTTCGAAGGTCAGGTCCAGACCGAAAGCTACCGAGGTACCAATACAGGGACGCTGGGGTGAGGTGTCAGCCAGGAGTGCCGGCAAGCACACTATACCTGGTAGCCACAGGACTGGGAGCTGGAGGCAGCTTCTCAGCGCATTGGAGTAAGCGTCAGCATCAACAGTCCTCTGGAATTAGAACTACAGATGATTGTGAGCTGCTGGGAATCGAATGTGAGTCCTCCACAAGAGCAGCAAGTGCTCCTAACTACCGAGCACTCTCTTCAGCCCCTGGCCTTTTCTTTTTCATGCGTGGATTTGAATAGGAGGGGTTCAGTGGCTTACAGAAAAATATTAATAGAATCTGCTGAACGTACACATGAAAAAAGATTCAGCATGGATAGGCGTAGTGCTCACAAGCTCCAAAGGAAAGAAGAGATAAGGACTCCAGCTCAGCAAGGCAGGTTGGGCAGGGACAGAATGGTGTGTGTGCTTGCTTCTTATGAGGAGGTATATGGAAAACTGCTTGGGGTGGGGGTGTCTGCTGAGCTGGGGGCTAGAAGTAAGACAGCTATACTGAGACCTAACCACCCTATCTTTGTTGGCCCTGGGCTCAGGCTTTCCTCTGCTTCCGGCCACATGAATGGAGTCTAGACATCCCCGGGGGGCCTGTGGAGCAGTACCGAAGCCTAGCCAGGGACCTTCAGCTGGAGGCCTTCCTGCAGTTTGTGAGTGGGATTTCCCCTCCCCCTTCCTCTGATAGGCTGCTGGTAGGGCTGACAAGAGTAATATTTAGAAGTCAGGCACTTACACAATTGTCACATCTAGTAGGGGAGGGAGTGCTATTCCTGCGCCTACCGATAAAAATAGCCCAACTGATGTGCAGTGAGCCACACCCTGTACCGGGCACCATGCCCACCTTTTCCATTCTTGACCTCATTTACCCCTCGACACACAGTTTCGGGTGAGACACTATTAATAGCCCCCTTCTGCTAACGGGAGCTCGAGGCCCAGAGAGCACCATCTCTTGGGTCATTTACACAGATGGGGTCTGAGTCCCAGAGTGTCACTCTATACAAAAATCTGTCTCAAGCTCTTTACGTAATAACAATGCTAAGAAGTACCAGGAATCGAGAACCTTCCCCAGGCTGTGCTCTGTGCACATAACAGATCAGCCCCATTTTCAAAACCTAAGCCCAAGCCTCAGTAAGGTTAGAGCAGGGTTTCTGAAGCTTTTCCTTATCAGCCTCATTTCCTGAGGAACTTTTCTGTGACCTGGGTACATAAGCATGTATAACAGGCTTGCAAATTTACTGATAATAAATCATAAGGGAATTTATTTTAAGACAATTCTGTGAAACACACACAATTTGACCACTTATTAAAGGTAAAAGCACATCTATGCACTAATGAGATGATGTCCCTTTTTTATTATTACTATTTAAGGAGTTAAATCTTGCCCAAATAATTGATACAGATATAAGATGTCTGGACACATCTTCAAAGGGTTTCAGAGTTGATGACCATTTTACTTTATAATCATCAATGCTGAGACTGTCTTTCACATAAATGCACACGACAGAGTTAATTTTGGGCCACTGTACATTTGGAAAGCTTTTACTGTTGCCAAATCTTTCTCAACATCTGCGTTCAGTCACAGCCCTGTATGGACTGCAACCCATAGTTTAGGGAGCTTGGGGCTTACGATATGCTCCAAGGCACAGCTTGTCAATGGAGGGGAGTCTGCCTCCAGCCCCCCACCCAGCTCCTACCCTCTGCCACCTCCTCTCCCAGCTCCCAAGCTCCCCTCTCCCTACAGAAGCAGCGGCTGAAAGGTCTGGTGTGGCAACCGCTGTGCAGCCTGGCCAGGACCCTGGTTGGTCCTCAGAACTTGATCAAGAAGCGTCTGGACAAACTCTTGGACTTCGAGCGAGTGGAAGAGAAATTGTTGGATGTGGGCAGTGTGACCTATGAGGAGGAGGCTGCCCGGCATACTTACCAAGCGCTCAACTCCTTGCTGGTGGCCGAGCTCCCAAGGTTCAACCAACTAGTCATGCAATGGCTGCGCCAGATCCTGTGGACATTTGTGGTCCTTCAGAGGGACCTTGCAGACCACGTGCTACGAAGAGCAGAGAGCAGCATGGCTCTGGTAAGGCCACCGGAACTGAAGTATCTGTGGAGCAGAGCCAGGCAAGGCCCTAGCTGTTGTCAGAGCAGAAATGGAGATAAAGTGGCTAAATAGTCTGCTGGAACTCAGGACTCAGTGAGGGCTCTTGAGATGTCTCTCTGTTTTTTCTCCATTGTTAATAGAGGCAGAGGCCAGGCCAGACTCTAGGCCTACTTAGGTCATCCTGGGACTCAAGAGCAGAGGAGGTTTTTCTGGAAAAGCAGCAGCAAACCTTCCCTGGAAGGTATGGCAAGATGATGACAAAGACAGGAGTCTCTTCGGTCTACTCAGGAGTAGTGTCCAGCTGGCCTCACTACCGATACTCCTAGCACCCATTTCCTGGCCAATACTTCTTATGTGCCTGTTTAGGGCCCTTTCCAGGCAGCGCCTCACTCCGTCCTCAAAGCAATCCTATATAGTATGTGTTCCTTTCAATAATAAAGAAGCCAAGGCCCAGAGAGGGAAACTAGCTTGAGCAAAGAGGCACAGATGACAGTAGGTTTTGACCCCTGAGCATGCAGTGGCTGAGCTCTGAACACAGTCCTTAAGAGCTTTTCCAAAGGAGCCGTTAGCCGAAGGCATAAATAGATTCCAGTGAGCTCTACACAAACCTCCACGTGTAGTTCCACGTCTTGCTCTGTAATGTTCATGTCAGAGCTGAATGGCTCATGAGTCAGGCCTTGGGAGCCATTTCCATGCTCTTCATTCCAGCATTGCCTTCTGTGTTTCCCCTGTCATCATCTGACTCCCCACCCCCAACTCTCCCTCATCCCTACTTCCTATCTCCTTACCTCCCTGCTCCTGCCAACCTTTCCAATCCATGTCTCCACTCTGCTGTGGCCATGCCCCTCCCTCCAATGCAACACTTGAGGGTCACCAACTCTTCTTCAGTTTGGAAATGCTTCCTCAAGTGTCCCTCAGGTCTCTCAACGCCCACCCTACAGTGACAGATGAGCCACTCCTGAGAATTCCTGTTACTCTGGAGGAGTGGGGATAGCCCCGTCCTCACCATCTGCACACCAGCAGAACTTGGTAATGTGTCCTAACACATTACAGCTGCTTCCTGCTTACTAGAGCCCACCCTCTGCTGGAGAAAACGTGGTGGGAGCCATGTTTTCTCTCAGTCAGAGGCAGGGAGTGGGGTGGGCAGAGCAGAGAGATGAGTGGTTGTTCCTTTGGCTTTCTCTTTTACTATGTAGTACAGGGCTCTGCCTTAGGCATACTTTTTGAAGTATGAGGTTGAAGCGGGCCCAGTGCCATTAAAAAAAAAAAAAAAAAAGTGAATCTGATTGGATAATCTGTTTGCTTTCTTTCTGCTTCCTCCCTTTTCTACCAGTCTGCAGTTTGGGTGAGCAGGGCTAGGGATGCTGCTAAGGGGAGGTTCCTAGACATCGGAAGTGCATGTTGTGGTGGTGCCTGTAGGAAAGCAGAGGGAGGGTCTCCTGATTGGTCCTGTGCTATGGTTATGGCCTGCATAGGACTGCTGTCAAACCTCCCTTGAATGACCAGCGGGTCATTCACCTGGCCTCACTCCTCTGATTCAAGGCCTGCATGGCAAAAACTGTCTTCTCTGCAAGCCCAGGAACAAGGCTCTGGGTCATAAGTAAGAGCAGTGAGTCTGGCAATAACCCAGAAGGCTGGACATATCTGTTGGCTGTGAGGGTCTCACTCACTCTTGAGCTGTCTGATGAGACTGTGGGAGAGCCTTACCAGGGAGGGGACCTCATGGGAGAGCTCAGGACTCTCTGGGTAAAAAGCAACAGAAGCTGGTGCCAAAAATCGCTGGAGCATAGAGAAGGAAAAAATGATCTGACCCCGGGAGGCCTTAGGGAGCACAGCAACTTATAGGCATGTAATGCCCAGACTCTGCCTTTCTCCCAGTCTCCCACCTGCTTTCCTCTCTGGTTAGGCTGGTTTTCAGGCAGGCTTTGTTTCTCTGTGGGAAAGACAGGGAAGACACCAGGCCTGTACCTTTACCCCTTGGAATCCGAAGGAAGTAGAACATCCACGTTCCGGGCCTTCACATACTGCATTCTGCAGAAGGGGCCTAAGTCCATTGTTGTCCCTTGAGCTAATCGCAGTAGCTAAGAGGAAGTAATGCCAGGCCTACCAGACACAGGACTAGAGTGTCATGGTGACAGAGATACTCTACCCCTATGGAATTTGTTTGTTTGTTTTTGTTTTTCAAGACAGGGTTTCTCTGTATAGCCTTGGCTGTCTTGGAACTCACTCTGTAGATCAGGCTGGCCTCAAACTCACATAGATCTGCCTGCCCCTGCCTCCATGAGAACTGAGATCAAAGGCATGTGTCACCACTGACCAGCTATCCAGACAGCCGTGGGAAATGTTCTCTTAACAGGAACAGGGGCAGTAGGCAGGCAGAGGCAGCAGTCTGGGACTACAGGGTGTGTGCCCAGGCACCTCTTGGTCCCTTCTGCAGAGGCTCTGCTGACATCATCTTCCCACTCAGCTGCCTCATCAGCACATCTCAGAGCCGGACTTCCAGAAGCTGCTGAAGGACACACTAGGCCAGAGCAGTAGCCAGCTCCGCCTTTTCCAAGAGAACTTTGAGAAGGTGCTTCCACCTTCCACCACTCAGGTAAGTGTCCATCCTCCCCTCGTTCAGCTGTTCTCCTGTAGTGGGCTGAAGCTTCACTCGACTTTCTTGAATTTTTGTTGCTCATGGAAACATTTCTTCCTCCTGTCTCTCCTTTCTGTCTGTGAACAAACAAAACAAAATAGAATCCTGTATTCCAACACACACACACACACACACACACACAGAGAGAGGTGGGGGGAGGTAGGGGAACGGGGAAAGGCGAGGGAGAGGGATAGGTAGAGGGGGAGGGAAAGAGAGGAAGAAGGAGAGGGAGAGGGATGGGGGAAGAAAGAGAAAGGTTATTTTCCAATCCACCTGAGCAGCATACATAGGCAGCCTGTACTATTGTATTTTATTTTACATTCTGGTTGTTTTTTTTTTTTTTTTTTGAGATAGGTTTTTTTTTTTTTTTTTTTAAATACCTCCAAATGACCTTAATCTTGCTACATAGCCTGAGACAGCTGTGAAAAGAGAGGGTTCTGGGAATCTGGCAACATCTGGATCTGAGAAAACTGGAAGTTCATTTAGTCACATATCAGAGGTGAAGTCACAAGCCAGCACCATGACTGCCCAGAAGGGACCAGAGGCTTTAGGGCTGCAGGGAAGCAAGTGAAGGGCCTAGCAGAGTGGGGCCAGGAAAGGCAGTCTTCGTGTCTGGCAGAGGGCAGAGGATAGAAGGCGGGGGAAACCACTTGGGTGAGGCTGTTTCCTGGGGCCCTGTGTTCTCAACTCCTCCTCATTTCTCAATGAGACTGAAAGATGTTTCACAAGAAGGCCATGGATCCTGCAGCTAGGAGGAAAGGGAGGGTACAGAAAATACATACTGGAAACCTCCATTTTCTTTCTCCTTAAAATCCTTGTTGGAAAAGCAGTCTGTCCTTACTGTAGAAAAAGATTATGGGTCTCATGAAAACAAAGCTAAAAGAAGAAACAAACCCATATCCCTTGTGTTAGGAAGGGATACCCCTCTCCCAACCTCCCTCTTTGCCACACCACAGCCCTCTAAATTCTTCCCTGTTCTGGCTGTAGGCGTAAAGGTGAGCAGAAGAAGGGTGGCCTGGGACGGGGCAGCACTGATTGTCTTTTGTACGATCTTCTCTGGAGACTCTGAATTGGATGGGGCTGCTGGATCTTAGAAAGAAGGCACAGGTCTTAGGTCCCTAGCTTTGTGATTCGTAGTGGTAGTTTTTGTTTGCTTTTGAGACAGATCTGACTGTGTAGCTTAGTCTGATCCTGAACTCAGTATCTTCAGCCTTTCCAGTGCTTACCTCACAAGCCTTGCTTTTAATCCCAGCACTCAGGAGGCAGAGGCAAGTATATCTCTGAGTTTGCGGCCAGCCTGGATTACAGACTGAGTTCCAGGACAGCCAGGACTATACATAGAAACCCCGTATTAAAAAAAAAAAAAAAAAGTGAATCAGCACATACAGCTTTCTATTGTTATTGTTTGTTCAGTTGGCATTTAAACACAGCCTTACCATGTTACCCTGACTGGCATGAAACTCACTATATAGACCCAGCTGACCTTGAAGTCACAGAGATCCACCTGCCTGTGCTCCCTGAGTGCTGGGATTAAAAGTGTCTGTCACTATATTCCTACATCCAGCCCTTACAATCTTTTTAAAATTTTACGTGTATATGTGTATGAGTGTTTTGCCTCTATGTATGTATGTATGTATGTATGTATGTATGTATGTATGTATGTATGTGTATATGCATACCACATGTATGCAGTACCTAAAGAGGCCAGAAGGGGGCATTGGATTCCCTGGAAATGGAGTCATAGATGGTTGTGTGCTGCCATTTTGGTACCAGAGCCAAACCTAGGTTCTCTGGAAAGGACTTAGCAGATACTGCTCAGCCATCTGTCCACCTCCTCAGTAACACCTATTCTTTTTCCATAAAACTGACGTCTCTATGTTTTGCCTGCAAACATCTGTCTGTGTGTTTTTTTTTTTTTAATATTCTGTCATGCTCGGGTTGCACACAGGCCTTATGCACACCAACTAGGAGCTCTGCCACCAAGCTTCATCTCCAACCCAGTCCTGATTTTTTTTTTTCGAGATAGGCTCTCTTTATATAGCCCTGGCTGTCCTGGAATTCACGATATAGACAAGGCTGGACTTGAGCTCACAGAGACCTGCCTGCCTCTTCCTCCTGAGTGTGGGTATTAAAGGTGTCCATCCGGGCTCTTAATGCTGACTCTTCATCAGTGCTAGAACAACAGTCTATGCTCAGATGTCCCTGATAGACACCTCTACCTGCCCTATACCTAACACCTCCCTACTCCAAATTATCACATGCAATGCACTGAGTGCGCACACGCACACACACAGCTTGAGTAGAGAATATGGCAAACGTATATATTTATACATTTGGTTTCTCCTTGGTTTTATGAGAGGGGGCGTTCATCCCTGAACTCCTCCTTGATGATGTTTTTGCTGAAAACAGTGAATGGTAAAACAAAGAAAATGACGGGCAGTTTAGGGATGAACTGATATCCTCTCTCCCAAATCTCTCTCCTAAGCTAGATAGTAATTTCTATCTCAGCAAAACTCTGCTGTATGTTCTTGTGTATGGTGTTCTTGCTGTACAAAGTCTACTCCAGTGCCTTGCACATAGTAGGTGCCCAGAGTGCTTGTGGAGTGGAAACTCCCAGAGTCATAGCTAGCTGTCCTTCATCCATAGGTGTCCTGGCCCTGTATTAGCCTGTGAAGATTCCGGGTGGCTAAGGCCTGGGGTACCATGAAACCCACAGCCTGGTGTGGTTCAGAGATCTAGATGAGACATTTCCTGTGGAATGACTTAGCTTAGCGTTATGTGCAGAATTTAGGGCCCTGCCCTACAACTTCTATAACTGACAGATATCCATGCTTGAATTAGTTAAAAGCTTCTTCTAAAATGTCATTGGAAGCTAAGATCCAGCCATGTGGTAGAAGGCATGGATCCTTCAGTGACAGAGATGGGGTTGGACAGGATTTCCAGGTGTCCGTTAGTGTTGGGACTGGCCTTGACACTTAACTCAAGCCCGTGTCTGTTTCTGCTCTCTCAGCCACTCTTCCCAGGCTCTGAACACCGGGTGCAGGCTCTCCTCACCAGATATGGCCCAGGGAAGCTATACCAGTTGACAAGCAACATCACCGGGACTGGGACTCTGGACCTGTCACTGCCACGGGGCCAAATTGTGGCCCTTCTACAAAACAAGGACACCAAGGGCAACAACAGTCGCTGGCTGGTGGACACAGGGGGTATGTGGGCCTCTGCAACCCTTTTGGGAAAGCCAGTTGCTAGAAGCTTGTAGGGAGACAAAGATGCTCTTTTGTGCCAATCTGGCTGTGCAAATTCAGGAGGAATGAACCCAGTGATGGACGCAGGAGCTTAGTCAGCTTACCGTGAGTCTGTGGTGAATGAAATGTCTGTAGAAGACCCAGTGTAGCCTCCCTCATCCAGTTCCTAGATGCTGTGCAAGCAAGACAAACCTAGTGGGTGACATGATGTGTGGAAGGAGCTTGAGTAGCACCTTGAAAAATACAGATGTGTGCTGAGAATGGGGTGCTGGCATGCCAGCCACACTCTCAGAATCTGACTTAGGCCAGGAACAGTAAGCTCTCTACTGGTTAGGGCCTTGGGATGTGTCACTGAGGTCTGAGCTAACAGGGAGCTGTGAGCCCAGGGTAAGACAATGGCCCAGTAGCATATTCTAAACATGAGGGTTGCACAGGGCTATTGCTGGAGGCAATCATTTCACTGTTCCACAGTGATATAATAGTCACTTGATCACCTTTATATGTATTATTAAAAAAAAAAAAAAAAAAGCAGCTAGTCCATAAGCTCATGATTTTATTGCTATTACTATGTGGCACAAGTCCAAGCTTTAAAAAGCAAGCCAGTTTAAAAAAAAAAATGAAGAAGAGCCATGTGTGGTGGTGTATGCCTATAACCCCAGTATTTGAAAAGCAGAGGCAGGAGAATGACCACAAATTTGAGACCAACCCTAGCTATGTAGAGAGATCTAGGGACTACACGATGAGATCTTGTCTAAAATAATAATAATCTTAAAAAGTGGCACAATTGGAAAACACATCTGTGGGGGAATAATATAAGGAGCATTAGAGGGAGGCTTCCGAGCGCTCCTAATTGGGTGATCTCAGGGCGGCTCAGAGCTTCTCGGAGCTCAGCTGCGTCAGCATGAGTGACAGTGACGCAGGCTGACTTCAGATTAGCGCGAAGACTCTAACCACCCGCGAAGCAGGAAATGATGGTCATTCGTGACGACAGCAGCTGGGCAGCCTGTGGGTAGGTGCTGGTGAGAAGGAGCGCAGAAGGATAGCGTCATCAGCAGTAGGCAGCGCTGGTCCTGAGGAGAGCTGGAGAAGCAGCCTTGCCCTGGGCGGCCACTAGAGGGCAGGAGCCATAGTGCCACCAATGGGAATCAGTTGTCATATCAGCCCAAGGATGAGCTTCATCTGTCAGAAGTTTCAAATCCCGTGGGTTGTCCCAGGGGAGAGTCTCTGTCACCGGGTGTGGTGAGCAAGCAGCGGCTAAGAACAGTGACTACAGAGAGGGGCGGTGGGAGGGAGTGCACCGGGTTCCCGGGTGACCTTGTGCTGTCTCTTTTAATGCTGGGAAGCCAGGCTGCTGGCTTTCCCCACCACGGAAAAGGAAAAGAAGCTGACTGGCAGCCACTGAACCCTCTGCATGTTTCCTAGGACAACGGGGGTATGTGCCAGCTGGAAAACTTCAGTTATACCACCACCCCGCTCCCAGTGAGAAGGAGCTCAGAGGCCAGACAGGGATACGCGAAGACTACTGGCTTCCAGCCCCAGAGCCCACCCAACCCTCTGTCCCCACCGTCCCAACCCTGACCCAGGTGAGTCTGGAAGGAGGCTGAGAGCTTGCCTCCCCTTATCTGTTTAGACTAGGGCTTGGATTTTCCTCTACTGTTGAAGAACCACTTCTTCTATCTGATGCCCACCTCCATGTGAGGGCAGGCTGTAGCCAGTGATAAGTCCTTATCATGGCCAGGGGTGAGACCCAGAGAGTGGGACTTCCCACAAAAACACCAGGGAGTTAACCCATCCCCCACCCCCATCAGCAGGATAGGCAGGGGGTCCTCAGTTCACTCAGTATTTGCTAGGTGTGGTATTAAATGAGAGTGACAGTGATGGACAGGAGCAAGTCATGGTCCTACTCAAGCTCACAACCTGGAGGAAACAGTGATTAGATTAGCAGTGATAATGGGAAAGTAAGCACAGCGTTTCCTGCTGTGACAAGGTTCAGAGTTCTAGGAATAGAGAGGCCTCCCTAAGAAGAATGCTTTTTTTCTCACATAGGAAGGAGTAGGAGTTAACTGGATAAAGAGAGGTAAAGTGGGGTGTCTGGGGCGAGTTCCCAGAAACCACACACAGCACATGCAGAGGCCCAACGATTAGCAAGGGTACAAGGAGGAACTGATGAAGCCAGAGCTTGGGGGAATAGAGAGGGCTGGGTATAGTAAGGCACTCCTGGTGAAGTCCAAAGGGCAGGGCCAGCCGGATCCCATGCCCTTGAAGAGGGCGCCAGTCTTCCTTAAAAAAGCAGTGTGTGTGTGTGTGGGGGGGGGGGGACACATGTTCTTGAAAGCGTTGTTTATAAGAACCCAAGTATCCATCCACATAAACGGGTAAACCAACTATGATAGAGCAACATATATTGAGAACCCTTTCCCCGGAGAGGTGTACGAAAAAGTCTACCTCTCAGAGGGCACCGATGGCAAACTAAAGTGGGGGAGCCAATGAGTCTATTGGGCTTTCTTATAGGAGATGGGTGAGATGTTACTTTTAGGGGTACAGGTGACCCCAAAGTAGCTGGAAAGTCTCACCCCACTGTAGATGATGACATCCTCAAGCTGTATAGATGGAATCTACCCCTCTCCCCGCTTAAGTTAACCTTCCACTATCTACATACTTTAGCACCTCCAGATCCATGAGACCACATGCGGTTGGGGCAGAATTAGATACAAACGGCTGAGCGGTGCAGGAGGGAGAAGCGGGCATCTCAACTAAGGGTCCAGTGTTCTTTCTCACCCTCCTTCTATGAGCTTGTGTGTCCCTTGCCAGCAGTCACAGCTGTTTGATGGAGAGGATGGATGACTGTTATCGGAGGGTAGGGTTCTGTGACACCGCAGAACCACAGAAGAGAGTATTATTTTGATGTGAAAATGATCAGAGTGCTTCAGTATGAAGCACAAGGATGAGCATGCTAAGTGAAAGAAAGGTCAGAAACACATGGGGTGGGATCCCATTCATATGAATGTCCAAACCAGGTAAAGGGACAGACAAAGTAGGCTTTTGGTTGGCAGAGGCAGAAGCAAGGGGAGTGGGAGAGAGTGTTAGCTGGTATGGACTTTCTTTGGTATTTTGAAATTATGCAGTGGTGATGGTTCCACATATCTGTGAATATACTAAAAGCTACTGAGTTGTATACTTTAAAGGGATGACCATTAGCCGGGCATGGTAGCACATGTCTTTAATCCCAGCACTTGTGAGGCAGAGGCCCCTGCCTGGTCTGCAAAACAAGTCCAGGACAGCCAGGACTACACACAGAAACCCTATCTCGGAAAAAAAAAAAAAAAAAAAAAAGAATGGCTATTATGGGATATGAATAACATCAAAAGGAAGGAAGGTAAAAAGAATAGAAAGATGTGGGGGGGGGATATAGCTGATTGGTAGAGTGCTTGCCCGGGGGCTCCATCCCCGGTGCACTGAAGGGTTTGGCTTTGCAGGGGCAGAGTCCTTGATCCTGCCCCTCCAAGCACCCTTGGATGGTTTGGGAGGAGTGGGTAGACGGGAAAAGCCAAGCAGGCCCTGTTGTAGGTATTCACAGAGGCTGTGCCTATGGCCACCCACAGTCAAGGGATGGCTACAAGGACGAGATGTGACTGACAGGAAGACCCTGGATAGAGAGGGGTGGGATTCAGAGGTGCTGGGGACAGGTGCTGGGGTGCCTTGGGTCAGGGCACCATTGACAGAGCTGAGAGACAGTGTCTGCGGATGTATACAGCCCCCACCACACCTGCCTTTTTCACTGTCAGCTAGACATAGTGCACCAAGATCCCCAAGAGTCCCACTAGGGACAATAACCAGCACTCCTCCCCAACAAGGAGACTGAGGTTTCTGCCAGCATTCAATTACCCAGCTCTGGTGGATGTAGATGGAATCTCCAGGAAGCTCTGCCTAGCATCAGTGGTCCATCTTCTCCTTCCTCTGTTCCTGGATCCTCCGTGGGACTCCTAGGGCACTCTCCCATGATATATATTGTTCGGCCATCACAGTCGCACTAATAGTAGAAGAGCCGAAGCAAGCTGTACTGACTGGAAAAACCCTACACAGGCGTTCATCCATTCTGCTTCCTACAAAAACCTAGGGGGTAGGCTCCTGTTATTGTAGATGATAACAATGAGGCATAGAGAAGTTAGGCAGTACCTTGATTTATGACTTCCCCTCTTATTGTTTTCTCTGGTTCAATGCTTTGCCCTAAAAAAGTAGCCATGTCTCCCAAACCTCACTATTCCTGGGTTAGAAACTGGTCTGGACAGAGAACTAACTCCCCAGATCTGAGAAGGGAGAGTTTGCTGAGGCCACCCCCTGACACCACTACAGGGTACAAGTACATCTTTCCTCCTGGGCGGTGGTGGCACACACCTTTAATCCCAGCACTCAGGAGGCAGAGGCAGGTAGATCTCTGTGAGTTCCAGGACAGCCTGGTCTACATAGAGAAACCCTGTCACAAAACAAACAAACAAATGAACAAAAAAACCGCTCTGCTCTGTAATCAGTCAGGCCTGACCTATGTGATTGTGAGTTACTTTCTTGAGTTCTCTAAGTCTCAATTTCTGAAAAAAAGAAAAGAAAGAAAGAAAGAAAAAAAAAAAAAAAGAAAAGTGGGGCAAATACAGGGGAGTGACTGTAGTAAAACCCAAAGCCTAGGAAAGGGCTAGAACGGTGGTAGCCACACAGCAGTTATCAGCCACAGTGCTAGCAGGCCTAGCATTTCAGTGCTAAGAATGTGCACGGGAAGTGACATATGACGGGCAGTGGCAGCTAGAGTGTGTGAGGGTGGGAGCACAGGGTGGCGCCCTCACTGGGCTGAGTTCAGCTGCCTCTCCCATGTGTTTCTGTGTCCCTTCCATCTGTTTCAGGTGGTGGCAGTGTACCCTTTTGTGGCCAGGAGCACCCACGAGCTGAGTCTACAGGCAGGCCAGCCGGTGACCGTCCTAGAGGCCCAAGACAAGAAGGGGAACCCTGAATGGAGCCTGGTGGAAGTGAATGGGCAGAGAGGATATGTACCTTCGAACTTTCTGGCCAGGACCCCAGGCCCAACTCCCTGGGGCTGGAGTCTGCCATGTTAGCACACCCTTTTTGGAGCCTCCATTCCTAAGGAAAGGGGGAGGCTTAAAGGCTGTGTGACCTGGCGGGCATGATTCGAATCAAAGCGGGAATGGGAGAGGAGTGAAGGGCACCCAGAAGGCAGCAGGAAGCGGTGACTAGGCCCTCACTGAATGCCTGGTGTGGGTGGCCACAGTGGGCGCTTCTAGCAGCATCACTCATGTCTTTATAAAGAAGCCATCTCAAGGCCACAGCTGATTAGCTAGGGCTTGCCGCAGCTCGAAGCTCGGCCTACCTCTTGCCTCTTTCATGTCAAGAATGAATGTGGCCTGTGTTAGTTGTAGGTGGGGGCATTACCGAAGAAGATAAGAGCTGCCTGGCTCAGCAGTGCACTTTCTACAGCATCAAGGAGACGCCGCTGCTCACCAGTCACCTTTTCTTTCTTATTGCCTTGAGTTGAGTTATTGTGAACTTTGAACTGTGGAGACTCCCACTCAAGGAGAAGCCGTGGGCCCAGGTTCTGAGGAGATTCTCTGGGAATGGGCGTGGTCTATGCACAGGCCTGGAATGTGTGTACAAACTCAGAGGTGGTTCCAGGGAAGAGGGGAATCTGAGGGCAAGTGAGGCTGGGAGCAATGGCATATACCTACTGCTGTTTTCTTTGGACTAGGAGACAAAGGGACTTGGCAGGCAACCACAGTGGAAACTCTGTGAGATAGGTGACTACTGGCCTGGTGGGTTGGGTTAGGTTTCCTGGTTCTGGATAGAAGAGCCAGGGGAACACAGGTGGCCTAGGTTCACCTATTGAGGGTATAGAGGCAGGAGCTAGAGCTGAGGTTGGGAGGATGTGGGGCCTAAAACATAGGACACAACTTCAATTTCTCACCTAGAAAAAACTAAGTCTTGGGATGCAGTAAGGAGGATCTGAGGCTGAGGACGCAAAGGCCCCATGTCAATCAGGAAGTATGACACCAACACAAACACGGTGGTTAGTGGTATCAAGATGGCCCAGCCATTGGCTTGAGTTGGGTTAGCAGGGTAAAGCAGTCCTGTTGCCACCCCTCTTGTCCATGCCAACAGTGTCTTTTCCCTTAAACCCAGGCTGTGCCTCAGGGCCCAGTGGGCATGGATTAACAATAGACACATTTTGAGACATGCCCTGTTAGGAATTTTGTTTTGTGTGAACATCACAAACTGTGCAAAATAACAAGGTTATGATATCACTAGGCAATGTCATCTCATGACAACACACAGCCATTGTCTGTGGCTGGCTGCTGCATGGCACATGACAATCATTACAGTTTAGGCAGGTAAAGCCCTAATGCCTAGTGCTTGGTGAGCAAGTCATTTCTTGAAACTGGAAACAGAAACCCCTCAAAAGCAGATCCCGACCCACTGGGCAGTGTTGGGTGTGGTCAGTACTGGGCAATGTCTCTAGGCGGTTGCTTTAGGTCAGGAGTAATTGGAAGATCCCAAGCCAGTGAAAGGGTCGGTCCTCCATAACCTCTGTACAACTGATGACTTTGGAATCAACCCTCTTGAGAGAGTGTGTAACACAGGTGGCTATTTCAGTGCTTTCAAGACTATGTCTGTTTTATAACTCAAGTGCCTCTTTGTTAGCTCTGGCTTCTGAAGGGCCCTTGAGAAAGACATCCTTGTCTGTGTCAGACTGTCTGCAAGGCCTCCTCTGGGCTTGTCATTGCACGGAGACTGTGTGATGCAAGGCTCCCCGGTCCCTTTCCCAACCCCAGGTTCACTCAAAAGATGTCCTCAGCTTACTTTCATTTCTGTTTCCTTCTCTGGCTTCTGATAAAAATGGGAAGCAGAGACAAACAGTTGACAAAGCAGGATCCATACCTGCAGCCTCCATAGATTTTTACTGACAGCTCTTTGTGTGGTGAGGCTCTAGCTAGGGGTTCTTAGCATGGCTGCTCTCTGCTGCATTTACCTGGGTACCTCTAAACTGTAGCAAACCAGAGAAAGCTGATGTCATTGATCTGGGCATGGGAACGGCCTTGGACTTCAGGAAGCTAACCAGGTGACTCTCACATGCAGCCATGTTGAAGACCTCTGCCCTAGACCTGCAGAGGTAAACAGCTAGACCTGGGGTCAGAGGTGGAAAAGGATAAGTTAGGTTGCACCCCCACTGAGCTTTGCACTAGCTGTCTAAGCAGGAGGCTTTAGAGGCAGCTTGAAATAGGACAGCCTGTTCTGTCAGGTCCCAGAATCTATATTTATTAAGTGCCATTAAAGGGGACCTGAACAAAATTGGATGTTCTTGTAGGCATAAGGGAGAAAAATGAAATACACTTAGAACCAAGGCTATCGCATGAAGGGGAAATAAAAATGTATTCAGTACATGTGGGTTATAGTTTCTTAGACCGGGGGGTGAGATTAAAAGTCACTGGAGAGTGAGAGAAGGCATACTGAGAAGATGGAGCGTGGCCTGGATTTTCTCCAAGGGACTCTGTGTAATGTGCCTTTTTACCCCCAATGCCTAGAGCCATTGCACTGTGTCTTATTTATTTCACTCTTGGGCTGTCACGTGCATACTCACAAAGATAGTTGCCTAAGAATGGAACAAAACTCCCAGGAGTTGAAGGATTCACATGGTATCCCTTGCTCCTCAAAGTGAAGTTGGAACTCTTTAACTCTTTGAGCGCCAACTTAGTTTAGGATACAAAGACAATTATATTATCCAAGGGAAGTTGAATGAATTCTCAATTAATGTCGTGAGCATGATGTAAGCTGCTGGCAATAAAGGACTTTGTATGACTCCAGCCATTGGTTAGTATACCATTCATTCACTATTCTTGCCAGATATAAAAATGACACCTTGTTCATTCATATGTTTATTTGAGTGTCTAGTGTACACCCTTGATGCCTCCAAGATTTGGGCATAGATGATGGAGATACAGCAAGTCATTAACCAGATAGGCTGTGCCATTTTTGAACGTACAGTGAGCAGGGAGGCAGACAAGTCAGCACTCAGTTCTACCAGTGTAACTATCCTGGAGCCCAAGAGTGGTGTTGACCTCTGACAACTTGGCAACCAAGAAAATCTTCTGAAAGGAAGTGATATATGACCTCCAGCCCAATGGGTGCCTGAGCTTAGGTGGTCAGGAGGGCATATGCAAAAGCTGGAAGAGACAGCAGATCACAGAACTGATAGTCTAGGGAGGCAGAATGCAGGGATGCAGGGATGCAGGGGTGTGGCAGAAGCAGTAATAGATGTGTCAAGCCAGCAAGGCAGAGGGCTTCAGACTGCGTGGGAGTGTTGAAGAAAAGTGCAACGCTCAGGGCCGCAGGTTTTGGTAAGTTACCTGGCTCTGGCTAGATCCCTGATGTACTCAGAGATGACGCCATTCTACAAGGACAGGGGGAGCTGCTTCCTTCCAGAACCTTCTAAGCCTCTGTCATGAGGCCCAAATAAGAGGTGTCCAATACGTATTGCATAGATAAATGTCACAGAAGGAACAGAAATACTGAAACCTAGCTTTTACGAAATCCCCTCCTGGCTAGAGGCATGGTAATGTCGTGCAGCTTGCTGGCCCTGCAGGGCTTTGTGCCACTGGCATCAGAGAACTGCCTGGACCGAGCTTAGCCAAGAGGGAGATTTGAGAGAGCTGAGGTGGTCATGGGAAGCTTGCTGGAAGCAATGGGAGTAGATGCAGGAAGGGGAAACCAAATGGGAGAGAAGTTGTCTCAAGCTAGAGGAGGCTTGGCCTCAGGAAGCCTAGCCCCAAACAGTGTTTTCCAGACACATCAGGGCAGATGCACAACAAACTCACAGAGACAGTGACAGCATGCACAAGACCGAAACAAGCTGAAGCCAGGCAAAATCTCAGCATGGAGGAGGGGAAGTGGACACAGAGTTCCACTCCTAGCCAAGAAGCTATCTGAAATTGATAGGTGCCAAGGAGAGGGAAAGATTAGTTTTCTTCAATAAAGACACTGGACATATCAACCGTACTCCAGGGCAGGAGCCCTGCTCAGACGTGCTTGCCCAACCCAAATCAGTCTCTATGGTTGGTTGGTGTTTTGTTTTTCTTAATTTTTTTCTTTAATATTCTTTCTTTCTTTCTTTCTTTCTTTCTTTCTTTCTTTCTTTTTCTTTCTTTCTCTCTCTCTCTCTCTCTCTCTCTCTCTCTTTCAAGACAAGATCCTACTATATAGTCCTCTCTGGCCTGGGACTCACTATGTAGACCAGGCTGGCCAAATCTGCCTGCCTCTGCCTCCTTGAGTGCTGGGGTTAAAAGTGCCACCATCCCTGATTTTTTTTTTTTTTGAAGAAAGGGATATAACATGAAATTGGGTGAATTGGGATGTGGAGGATGATCTGGGAGGAGTTGGGAGAGGGGAAAGAGTATGATCAAAATATGTTATATAAAATTCTCAAAGAATAAATAATATTAAAAAGAACAAGAAGCCGGCCATGGTGGCACATAAGCTCTCTAATCCCAGCACTTGGCAAGGCAGAGACAGCTGGATCCTGCAAGTTTGAGGTCAGCCTGGTCCACAGATATTTCTGGACAGCTAGAGCTATGGAATACAGAGAGCCTGCCTCAAAAAACCAAAAGGAGGAGGAACAGGAGGAAGAAAAGGAGGGGGAGGAGGAAAACCCAGTCTAGGTCCCACATGGTAATCAGCAGATGCATTTGCCTGGTCTCTGCATAGAAGTTTATTGAGGGCATCCAACCTCCCCAACCTCCTCACTAGGCCCCCAAAGTAACCACTGGAAAGTAGTAGCTTCTTTCAAGGGATCCCTAGCTCTTACCACCAAGACCTGGTTTCTAGCATAGAAGAGCCATTTTAGGGACTGTTCTGGCAGAGCAGCACAAAGCACTTTGGGCAAGGGGTCCACTCCTGCAATATCTTGGGTGACTGGGATCCTGGACAAGCTTATTCACCTAAATTTGCTCTTTTATTTTATTTACTTGGTTCTTGTCTTTGTGTTTTGGAACAAGGTAGTCTCTATGTAGTCTTGGCTGTTCTGGAGCTCACTATGTAAGCCAGGCTGGCCTTGCCTTGAACTCACAGGGTTTTAGGATTAAAGGCACCTGCCACCACTCCTGGCTTTATTCTTTTATTTTTTTGAAGAAGAACTGGAGATTGAACATAGGGCTTTGTATGTGCTAGGCAAGCACTTTACTATTCAGCTTTATTCCCAGCTCTCCCTCCTTCCCTCCTTCCCTCTTTCCTTTCCTTTCCATCTTTCTTTCCTTCTTTCCTTCCTCCCTTCCATGTAGCACAGGCTGGCTTTTGACTCATGACTTCATCTTCTTCAGCATGTCCCAACAGTGTGTGCCATTGCAACTGGTTCATCTGTCTTAGCCATAATTCCCAAACTTAACTTTTATGTACAGAAATTCCTTTCTTGGGTGTTGTTAGGAATCAAGCATGGACCTGGAGATTTGGCTCAGCGGTTAAGGACATTGGTTTGGACCCGAGTCTGTTTGCCAGCACCCACGTGGAGGCTCACAATTGTCTGTAGCTCTAGTTCCAGGAAATCTGCCACCCTCTCCTAACCTCTGAGGGCATCTGGCACACAAGTGGTACATACACATATGCAGACAAAACACTCACACACATAAAATAAAGTGACAAATCTAAAGAAGAAGAAGAAAAAGAAAGGAAGGGAGGGAAAAAGGAAGGAAGGAAGGAAGGAAGGAAAGAAGGAAGGAAGGAAGAAAGGAAGGAAGGAAGGAAGGAAGGAAGGAAGGAAGGAAGGAAGGAAGGAAGGAAGGAAGGAAGGGAGAAAGAAAAAGAATTGAATAAGACAATCTGTGAAAGGGTGCCTGGGTATTGCTGATGCTAATGGAGGCAACGTGTGAATTGTGACCACCGGGGGGCAGCAGGGCTCTTCCCTTCAGCCATGGAGGGTTTTGGGGAGGTACCTTTGAGGTCAAACTGAAATGCCTATGCAGCTAGCTGAGGCAGAGAGAAAGGCTGGGAGAGGGATATTACGGCAGTGGTCCTCAACCTGTGGGCCACTCTCCTTTGGGGGTCGATTCATAGGGATGGCTTAAGACCATCAGAAGACACAGGCATTTACATTACAATTCCCAACAGTTATGAAGAGGCAGTGAAAATAATTTTATGGTTGGGGGTGACTGCAACGTAAGGAACCATATTAAAGGGTCACAGATTGGAAAGGTTGAGAAGCAGTGCACTGGGGAGTAATGGGGACTTCACCGGATTGGAGCTTGCACACCACCACATCTAAAGGGCTGCAGCTCCCTGGCTCCGAGCCAATTGCCGCCACATCAGAGTGCCACTGGTGGCATCAGACCGGCTGACTCTTCTTTCTTTCTTTTTTTTTGAGACAGAGTTTCTCTGTGTAGCCTTGGCTCTCTTAAACTCACTTTGTAGACCAGGCTGGACTCGAACTCACAGAGATCTACCTGCCTCTGTCTCCCTGAGTGCTGGGATTACAGGTGTGCACCAATGTGCCCGGCGACTGGCTGGCTTTTTGAGTGAAGCCAGAAGCCAGAGGTTTTGTTTGGCTTTTACTATGTTTGCTTATTTCATTTTGTTGTAACCCAGGCTGGCCTCACACCTGCAGCAATTTTACCTCCTCAGCCTCTGGAGAACTGGGATTCCAGGCATGCACCACCATGCCCTGCTTCATCCCCTTTTCATATGGAAATCTTTATGTGGTCTTTAACAGGCCCACCTTTGCATCTGTTGCCAAAAGGGGGTTGACTGCCTGGGGTGGAGAATCTTCTCTAAAGAAATAGTTTCACGCTAGACCTAGGCTCCCCTACACAGGTATAGCCAATGGACAAGCTAGGTCCTAATATGATATGGGTGTCCTAGTAAGGGAAATGGGGGCTGACTCTGACATGGACTCTGTTGTCTGCTTTTTGATCACTTTTCCTTGGCAGGGCTACCTGGCCAGGCCACAGGAGAAGAGGATGCGTTCAGTCCTGATACAACTTGATATGCTGGGTGGGTGGGTGTGGGGGTGTCCCCTTCTCTGAGGAGTAGGGGAGGGTAGATAAAGAAAAAAGGGAGGGAGGACGGGACCCCGAGGAGAGGAGGGAGGGGGCTAAAACCAGGATATAAAATTAATAAATAAAAATTTAAAAAATGAAATAGTTTCGTGTCTTGACTTCATCAGAGGTTAATTTCTTTCACTTGGATCTTCGGAAAGTGTGGTTTTCCTAAATGTCATCTCTTTTATGGTTATTATTGATGCCGAGTTTCTGTAAGCTCCTTGCTCCTGTCTTTTGATTTACCAGTGAGGATTACAGAGAACTATTTGCCAAGAGTCTCTGAGAAAGTAAATGACATACTGATAAATCCCCTTGCCCAGCACTTGGCTCATCCATGCTCAGTGATGTAATTGTCATTGTTATGGGGAGCTTGATCAGAGAGATGTAGGGAATTTGGAAGCTTGAAGGGCCTGTCTGCCTCCCTGTGTGTGTCATAATTAGGAGGTCTGGACACACCCCTGTGTAGAAGCCCCTGTCTCTGGGCCTGTCATGGGTTCTCAAGGATCAAGGTCTCCTTGGAACCTGAGTGGCATCTGAGCTCTTCACGGTGGCTGCAGGTGGGGGCCATCCCTGACTCCTAGGTGACTCGGGCAGACGAAGCACAGAAACTGAAGTCTTGCTGAGCATCTTGTTTTCCTTGTTCCGTGCCCTGGCAGATGTGTACTGTGGGAAACATTTCCAAGGCTTCTTTGCTCAGCTGGCAGATTGGATCCATGGGAGGCTCTGGCTGGTGGGAGGATACACCCCATTTCTATGCTTGTCTGCTAAAGGCTGTTCTTCTC